CCTGGTCCCTGCCTCAGTTTCTGTTACTGGCACAGCTGCGGACAGCCTGTTATTTACATTTTCATACTAACCTTACAGAGGCATTGACAGACAGGAACAGGTATTTTGGCCACCAACGATTTGGAAGCCAAGAATAGCTCAAACCACTCCAAGTCCAGTGCTTCTGGGCCCCATTTCAGGCACTTCTGAGAAATATACACAGAGACAGAACCATGGAGGAAGGGAGGGAGGGACAGAGATTGAGGAATCACAGAGGTGCCAGGATCCAGGTATGGTGTCACATATGTATAATATGTGAGGCAGGGGATGGAGAGTTTGAGCTGCTTAGTGAAACTTTGTCTCAAAAAACCAAAACAGAGGGCTGGAGAGATGGCTCAGTGTTTAAGAGCACTGACTGCTCTTACAGAGGACCCAGGTTTGATTCTCAGTACCCACATGGCACTTAACAACCATCCATAACTCCAGTTCCAGAGGATCTGATGCCCTCTTCTGACCTCCTCTGGCATTGCAGGACTCGGATGTACTCATATACATGCAGGTACTGTACTCATACACATGAAACAAAAAAAAAAAATCTTTTTAAAAGCCAAATTAAGAATCCAAACTACAATAGAAGGTTTGGGAGAGAGTTGATAAAAGGCATAGCTAGAGGCATAGCTCAGTGGCAGAGTGCCTGCAAAGAATCCATCAGTGCTGGCCTAGGGTCATGATTCAGTGTAGAACACCTGTCTAGACTCCACCCGTGAGGGGCTGGGGTGTGGCTCAGTGGTAGAGCCCCTGCCTAGAATCCCCCAGTGAGGGGCTGGGGTGTGGGTGAGACCATCTCAGAATTTTACCAGTGAGGGGCTGCGGTGTGGCTCAGTGGTAGAGCACCTGCCTAGAATCCCCCAGTGAGGGGCTGAGGTGTGGCTCAGTGGTACAGCACCAGTATGAGATACATAAGGCCCTGAGTCTCATCCCCACAAAAGCAGAACCGAAACACAACAAAAGAAGATGCTCAGAAATGAAGAAAAAGAAAAGACTGAATCAACACATGGACATTAGACAGAAATCTTGTCTTCAAAATAGACCA